CCCCTAATTTTGGGAAAGCCCCATCTGGAGCTACGGATACAGGGCTTGGACCGTTGGAGGTCTGGGCTCGGTCTTGCAAGCAATGCTAATAAAATGGAAACTACTATATTATAATATGGGTTATATTGGGATAATGGAAAACAAAATGGAAACTACTATAATATGATTGGGTTTAGGGTTTAGGGTTATATATAAGTTTGCTTGTTCTGTTTGCGTGCCAAGCGACATCAAGCCAATCACGCCCTCCAACTCATCAGGGGCAAAGAGGTTGGGCACCTTGCTTACAGAACGTCTGGAGATCAGTTTGGCGGGCATTGACTGCAACCTACATAGAATGTTCCCGCCGGAATAACACTCCTTGCTCTAATTTCATAATACTTGGGAAGTCTTCAATCATAGGGGGGCCACCTTAAAATCAAGGGGAACGCTGACGGATTGGCACCTCGCCGGTATTCAGGATGTTGTTGATGTCTTCCAGGAATGACCTGGGACGCCGAACGGTCTCTGAACAGCACATTGCCCAGCATGCCCAGCCCATTTTGATTTCAATGGGCTCCTCCATGGACCCACAAAGAGTGAGATACTCCTGCTTCCGAGAAACCCGCAAGACAAGCCTCATAATTTTGACACACTCCGCTTCTGCAGTCTGCAATGGGTCGCAGTCGTGTATGACTTTTCGCTGGCATTCCCTCAGCATGGCTGTTGCCTCTGCTTCAGCTGCAGATTTGTGTTGGGCGTAACTTTGCTTTCTAACGTTTCGATGCGCTGATTTTCTGATGTTGCCTGAAAAGTCGACAATCAGCTCAGCTGAAGGCTACACTGCTGGAAAGCGGAATCGCTGAATTGGAACTGGCGAAGTCGGCATTGATTCTGAGATTCCGGCTCCTTGACAATCTGCGTGTCAGAGAACAGGAACACAACGCCCTTGCCTTTCGAAGAAACACTCTCTTTGTCGCATGCGTGATATTCAAGATTAGGGCTCCTTCCTTGTTCCACCAGACACTGGGTGCGCTAGGTGCTGCACAACAAAAGGACACCTAACGGATCCCATCTTTTGAGAAACAGCCTACACTCCTGGGAACTAACATGGAAACCCAAAAGGGGCCCTATAAAGACTACAGTCCCTCTAAAATGGGGCTATATGGGTTTCCATGTTTGTTTGGGGGAGTGTACCTACATCAAGGACTTCACTACCTGAAAAGTCCGATCTAGACCGAGCCCTTGGCCGGAGACAGCTAATCTTGCTGGATGTAAGAAGGGAATGGAGGAATCAAAAAGGAACCTGAATCTTCTATTTGGGGTCTAGGAGGACCGGGACAATCTCAAATACTATATCCTTCGGGGGGTACTATCGGGGCTATACGTACCCATTATTTCCTATCAGCAGCCAGTAAGACATGCGACAAAAACAAAGCCAGTTCTCAGTGAAGAACCCGGATACGTAAACCGATTTCATGGCCGAGTTTTGTCCGCACCTCAACTGCTTCTCAATTAAAGCCAACTTTCTCATGGAACCACAGAGAAGGCAGCAATATCTTTGAATACTTTGAAGCTCGTACCCTTGACCACAAGCCCTGAATCACTGATCCGAAGCTGACCTAAACCCTGAACCGCAACACTGCCAGCCTCCACCCTTGGCAACACCATTCATTATGTTTTTCAAGTCCTCCTTGAAGTCGGAGGAGCCTCGCAAAACAAGCTCAGTTGCATAAGACGGGATGACTTCTAATGTCCAAAGTGCGGGCCGTCAAGATTGATCTTGATGCGCCTAGTACTACCGCACGCAACCTCATCGGCTGCCACAATCTCCCAAGTAGGCCAGGGGCCCAT